CTCACTGTTTGCGATAATTCAAGCTTATATTATCGGTTTTATATCAACAATTGCGTTCCGAATGTTATATTCGTCTGAATATAAGTGAAGCACCAATTAAGTTGAATTTCATATATTTGCCCATCTTTGTGCTTGCAACGTGTTAAATGTGAATTTTACTTTAGAAATACTTTCTACAGTAGCTCAGCTTTATTCTGCCAAGTCTACAAATCGCTGGCTGATCAAGAAATAAATTTTCTAAAATTTTGAAATCTGAAAATATTCTTACCCTGAAAATTGGTAAAAAATTTATTTTTTTCAAAAAAAAATTTAACCAGAAGCGCCCTTTGCGATTCCCTAGATTAGTCTCACTGATTGCGATAATTCAAGCTTATATTATCGGTTTTATATCAACAATTGCGTTCCGAATGTTATATTCGTCTGAATATAAGTGAAGCACCAATTAAGTTGAATTTCATATATTTGCCCATCTTTGTACTTGCAACGTGTTGAATGTGAATTTTTACTTTAGAAATACTGTCTACAGTAGCTTAGCTTTATTCTGCCAAGTCTACAAATCGCTGGCTGATCAATAAATAAATTTTCTAAAATTTTGAAATCTGAAAATATTCTTACCCTGAAAATTGGTAAAAAATTAATTTTTTTCAAATAATATTTAACCACTTGTAACCATTGTGATTCCCTAGATCAGTCTCACTGATTGCGACAATTCAAGCTTATATTATTGGTTTTATATCAACAATTGCGTTCTGAATGTTATATTCGTCTGAATATAAGTGAAGCACCAATTAAGTTGAATTTCATATATTTACCCATCTTTGTGCTTGCAACGAGTTAAATGTGAATTTTTACTTTAGAAATACTTTCTACAGTAGCTTAGCTTTATTCTGCCAAGTCTACAAATCGCTGGCTGATCAAGAAATAAATTTTCTAAAATTTTGAAATCTGAAAAAATGCTTACCCTGAAAATGGGTAAAAAAATTATTTTTGTCAAAAAATATTTAACCCCAAGCGCCCTTTTTGATTCCCTAGATCAGTCTCACTGATTGCGATAGTTCAAGCTTATATTATCGGATTTATATCAACAATTGCGTTCCGAATGTTATATTCGTCTGAATATAAGTGAAGCACCAATTAAGTTGAATTCCATATATTTGCCCATCTTTGTACTTGCAACGTGTTGAATGTGAATTTTTACTTTAGAAATACTGTCTACAGTAGCTTAGCTTTATTCTGCCACGTCTACAAATTTCTGGCGGATCAAGAAATAAATTTTCTAAAATTTTGAAATCTGAAAATATTCTAATTATTTTGTCAACATTCATTTTAACAACCTTTACCTCTTTAAAAATGTATATTTAACAAATTCTTGGTATTATGATCAGTTTTTATTTAACTCATAGTGTATTTTTTTTTGCCACGTTTTAATTTGTACACATTCTTTTGTTTATTTTCTTTGAAAGCTTTAATTATTTTCAGGTTGGTTAACGAACAGAATATTTTGTAACATTGATCGACATGCTTTTGGCTTTGACGATGATTGCAATAAACCATATCCCCTTTAATGTCTGGTTGACTCTTTTTGAAAGTGCAAATTTTCCGTCCACCGAACTGATCAGCCGGCAGAGCAAAAATAATTAGCAATTATGCGCGCCGGCGAGCCTGTCGCCGGCGGCATTTTATATAAATTTTGCGTCGCGAATCACAAAATTAACTAATAGAGGGCGAGTTCGATTTTTTCCCCTGTCTTTCCGTGTTATATGCAAGTGGCGCTCTGGCTCGGCCGACCCTTTTAATCCGATGAGCCTTTTGCGAGTGAGCACACGCGCTTGCAAATCCCCTTTTCACTCCGTCCCGGCGCAAAAAAAGGACGTGACTCGCGACAAGGACGCGCTGGATGCAGAGAGAAAAAAAGAGAGCGGCTCCTCGCAAAAGCAACTTTGTTTTTAAATGCACACATTCGTCCCAACAACTGTGATTTAAGAGCCTCTTGTGCGTGCAATCCGAATGTTTTTATAAAAGTTGTTTAAATGCTACTTTCCCGCTTTTGCTGCTTCAATTTTTTTCTTATACAATAATTACAGGACATTTTTCAGTTGAGAATTATTCAAAAGATTATGAATTGGCTCCAAAAATGAAATTTATTTTCCTTCAAATCAATTTTGAACCTCTGATCGTTGAATAAATTTCTGTAGTAATTAATTAAATCACTCCTGAATTCTAAATTGAATAAATAAATATTGCAAAGAAAAATTATAATAATTGCAACTTAAATAATCATTTCATGATGTGCATTTTAATTGTACAATTCAACAACATTCTCTGTCAGATCATAATTTTCAACTTTAATCGAATCATCCGTAAGTTTAATTGACCTTAAAGTGCAATTAATTAGCTCGAGTTGTAGCATAAATGATCATTCCTCGGCGGATTCATTAATGGGGGCGCGCATTGCAGCAATTATTGATGCTAATTAATCAGGTCTCCACTAATTGCTGGTGCAGCAATAATCACAGCGTGCCAACGAGGTGATCCGCGGGGCGTTGACGACTCCATTAAATTCGCATTAATTAGGTCGTCGTCTTAATTGGTGAATAATTTTTTAACTCAACTTGCAAAATTGAATTGAAAAGAGATTTGAAAACAAACAATTTTGACAATTGGTCTTTTTATAGCGACTTTATAGTTAACCAAAAATGTTATCATATATTTCAAAGAAACAAATTTTGAGAAAATCAACACGATGTCTTCATAAAATGACTCAAAAGTCCAGGAAAATAAATGTTTTTAAAAATCAGTGCTGTAAATTTTAGAGAAAAGAAATAAGAAATATAATTTGATTTTAATTTTATTTTACTGGTGTAAGGACTAAAATTTTTAAATAGGCAGACATTTTCACCTTTGTAAAAAAATTGTTCCTTTTAATGACTGTGTAGATGTGAGAGGATTTTCATTATCCCAACGTGCAATTGGAGCGGCAAAGTGTGCGGAGAATGAGGTCGCAAGACGCGAGCAAGATTGCGCTAAAATGCTACAATGGCGCGTTGCCGGATGTTTATTATTGCGGTGTCGGCGTCTGGCTGCGCCCGCATAAAGCAACTCGGCCAGAAGTGCTAACAATAAGTACGTGTTAAATGGGCTCTGCACTTTTAATACGCTCTCAAATTGTCGCTCGTTGCGCGCTCAATGAGCATTTCGCGCAAACAAAAGAGCTTAACAATGACAAATTTCGGCCGAAACATGAAATGGGAGAAAAATTGCCGCGAATTATTGTCCGCACTCATAATATCTGTTACGAAGTTAATTTGCTAACAATTTAGCTTTCAAATGTTTTAAAAATGCAACAAAAAGGTGAAAAGAAAAATCATCTCACGAAACTGAAAACACTTTCCTAGAAGTATGCAAAAATTATGGTTAATTTTAATCGCTTCCGCAAAGTGAAATTTTTAAGGTTCCAAAAATTGTGAATGATATTCTTCACCATTATAATCGGCCTTCCTAATTGGAAACGGGGACACTTTGCACGTAGACTTTTTATTTTCTGTTTTGCACCGAAACACTTTTTAGTCGAAATGAAAACTGAAAATGTGTATTTCGTGTCTGCGAGTGCTTTTGATAGCGACGCAAATTCACGCATTCATATTTTAATATGGCCAAAGTGGCGAGCATAAAAGCGAGGCTTTTATTGTGCGATTCGGTCGGTCGGGGCACAAAAAGCCTTTCAATTGGGCGCCGGAAAAGCGCAGCCGATTTTAAATAATTAAAAAACGCGCCCGGGGTTTTTTAACAATGCGCGGCGCTGAATTAGATTTCGAGTGGAGAGCACGTGCGCGAGAGGCTTGATTGCACCTGGAAAAGGAAAAACGCGGTGAGCCGGAAAACCACGGCGCCCCTTCGCCTGTTTCAGATTTGCATGCGCGACCATCCCTGCATTTTTTTTCATTAAAAACTCACTTAAAAGAAGAAAACGTGACATTAAGAATAATCTAAAAAATAATGAGCAAAATTTAAAAGTCTTTTGGATTAATTTAAGATTTATCCCCATTTTAATCAATTTAATTTTTATTTTGTACGAAAAATTACCAACGAATGAAGTTGAGTAACTTTTTTAGTTTGAAAATTAAATGATCAAATCAAGATAAGAAAACAAAAGAAAAGTGAAATGTAACATTTGTTCAACTTTTGCTTTTTGAAATGAAAAATATGAATTTAAATTGTACTAGTTAAACTTTGGAACCTTTTGAAGGTTTATTTGATGAAAATTTTCGGAAAAAATGTAATACATGAAATATTTTTCTTCAACTTTTTACAATATCAGCTAACTTTGATTTATTTCTGGACATTTCATGATCCATTTTCGAATGATTGCTTTAAAATATTTTTTAATCGTCACACATTTAATTTAATATTTCTTCAACAAGCACCGCTTCGCGTCTTTTTAAAGTCAACGCGAAAATTGATTTGTCCAATTTGAAAGGAGTAAATATAGCCAATATTATTTGAAAAGCGAGCTCATCCCTTTTGAAATCGGATTAGATGTTTAGCACTACAAAGCAGTGTGTTTGCTGAAACACGCATCAACTTTCCACTCGAAATGAGTTTGCAAACACACAAGAAGGCTTGAAATAAACCGCCAATGGAAGAAGCCTGCAGTGAACTAGCGACCCGATCGATTTCTCTTGCGAAAGTGAAGCAAGAATGGAAAGCAAGCGTTTTTTGGTTTCCAGGAATATCATTGAATTTTTTGTAAAAAGCGAAATAAACAAGCTGACCATAACTTTCAATAACATATAGCATTTCGGAAGGAAATGAAATAGACGGAAAATGTGAAATTTTTAATTAGTACGAGTCTTTTTTTTATGGAGATCTTCATAAAAAAACAAATCAAACTTTAATTTAATTTCCTTTCTCCAAATTTAAAAAAAGTCACAGTTTAAGTAATTTAAAATATTCCTCATTATTTATTTTAATGATGAGTAAAATTGGAATGAATTACTCACCCTGCGCCTCCAGAGTGAAATGGTACTGGCGGCCAGGCTGAAGGGTGACGTTGTCGGCCAGAAAAACGTCGCCGGTCTCGTTGTCCACGTTGAAAAGCGTCGAGTCGGCGCCGTGCAGCATTTTGAACCTGGTGGTGGCGCAGGGGCAGGTGGTGCCCTCGCCAGGGTCGTGCAGGGGGCAGGTCATGCCGAGGTCGTCGTCGGTCGCCTCGGCCCGCAAAACCGCTCCTGCAACAATTCCAACAGTCGATTAAGTGGATAGGCAACCGGTTGAACGTGCCCGGCGGGTTGCATAATCTCGACCAGGCCGGATTGTGATTATTACGAGAGGCGCTTGGCAAATTATCGCAGGCTAATTGGAAAAGTTGGAAGCAGGTGAGAGTGGAAATGAATGTAAATTTTTTATCAACGAACAGGATTATTAAAATTATTTGAATATTATTTCTACGTAAAAAGATGGAACATTTAATTAAATTTTTATGTCCTTTAGATTAATGAAAATTTACCGGTCATATTTGAACAAACTAAACTCTAAATAAATAAAATAAAATTAATAAGAATGATCAACATTGAAACTTCCATTTTTTTAAAGAAAAAAGAACCTAAATATAATCCTAAATATATATTTTTAATAATAAAGTTGGTAGCGCCGACCAAAACAACAGCAAGGTATGTGGCCCGGGCCACTTTTTGACAGATTTTAGGTGGAAAAACCAGACCCAGTGACTTCTTAATGGGCATACTTCACAACGAAGAGTCACCGGCCTCAAAATTCACGTAAGCAACAAGTTTCCGTGCCCTGGGACCGGCTCAGGGTGCACGCCAAATTCAACAATGATGCGGGGCTATAGGGACCAGGTAACTCCGAGGACCATGGAGGGGCCTTCCCATAGCCATTTTACCAGACAACCGGACCCGTACGGTTTCCATGCAAACTGCAACTACCAAATCGAGTACCTCAAACAGCGTGTTTTTGAAATGGAAATGGAAATTTTTGCCCAAAATGAAAAAAGTTTTCAATCTAAAGGTTTTCCAATGTTGCCAACAAAATCAAGACCACCTGAACCTGAAATCCCATCCCTCGTGTCTCTCGGAGGTGACACGCCCCCGAAACAGCACCACCATCGGTCATGCTCTGAAACTCCAGTGGCGCGAGTATCAGGCACACAAATGCAGCTCCCTTCTGAAACCCCCAATCAGACTCGAGATGAAAATCAAAATGAAAAAGGCGCTACGAAATCGCAACACGCGGCCGTTGACGCAGACAATGACTGGAAAATCGTAACGCCAAAACGGCGCTCCAACAATTTGCCCCACCATGACCAATCAAAGAAACCTAACCAAAGGAACACCCAAACTCATGTCGGAGCCCATCAACAACAGCGCCAACAAAACTCAAAAAGGTCGAACCCGGCTCCGAAATCCACGCCTAAATACATGAAATATCAAATGGAAGTAAAGAAAATCGGAAACAAAGGCCTCCAGCGCCACCCAGAGAGCCGCTGCACTATTCTCGAGGAAACAGGTGACCTACTGAGAGCCAAAGGCGTGAAAGGGCAAGCTACTGGTGCAGATTTCAACCTGGGCGCCGGCCTCGCTCTCCACACCAAGAATGTAGGGCGTTTCGACCCTGCCCAGCTGCTCCTTCGACATCCGAATGCTGCCCCTGGCTACATTGCACCCGAGAAGATGCCAGACGGTTCCCTCATGCTCTTCTGTGTGTCTAAGCCACGATCCAATCAGAAACTCTATCACGACCCGGACGGACACATCCAAGGTGCCCGGGATATGGTACGAGGACTGGCCAAATACACAGAGGAACACAAGGTCACTGAACTCTCCCTGCCAAGAATCTGCTCCGGGCTGGACGGCATCAACGCTAGCTTCATCCACCAACTTCTACTAGATGAATTCCGCAACCAGCCAATCACAATTCACCTACTCTCCTTTAAACCACACGGCCGCACCACGAGGACCACCACAACTCCCACAACCAATACCCCTATTCAGGCCACCAACAATAAGGACGAAGATACGCCTGAGGACATTCAACCGGTTTTTCCCGGCGGCTCAGATCTCAATCTGGCGAGGTAAAGAGCACCGAAATTAACCTTATGCTTTGGAATATAGAAGGATTAGAGTCAAAATTAAAATTAATTCCTGAAACTGAATTTTTCAAAACTTATGATCTATTACTTTTTGTAGAAACATTTGCTGAAAGAGAGTTTAACATTGAAGGATTTAGATCAATAAATTTGCTGGCAAATAAAATAAACAGCAACGGGAGGGCAAGGAAAGGAATTTCAATCTATTTCAAAAATGAATTTAAATATGGAAAAAGAACAGAAACTATTGAAGTTAAGGATTTTGCATTGATCCAAATTTTTGAAAAATTAGTGATTGTTTTGTGTTACTTCCATCCAAGTTATGACCTGGATGAATTCTCAGATAACTTAGAAATGACTCTACTGAAAATTAGAAATTGTAATAATAAACCAGTTCTGCTTCTCGGGGATTTCAACTGTCGTGTTGAAAAATTAACCACAAATTATGATTGCAAAACTAAGTACTTAACCGAAAAAATGGAGAAAAATGGATTCTCATTGTTCAATGATCTAAATTTGCCAACACACGGTCACCCGGGTTGGAGAGGCAGTGTAATTGATCTGATCTTTGCTAACCACTTTGTCTCTAAAAAAGAATTTCAAGTGAAAGGAGAAATAGAAAAGAAACACCACCCGGTGACATGTGCCGCCTCAATTTCCAACTCTACTTCACAGCAACCAAAAATCTCTGAAAATAAAGCAAAACCAGTATATAAAATTGATTTAGAGAGACTTGAATTCCTAGTTAATAATGACTATGTCAATTTAAATACTTTGATCGATAATGACAATGTTGAAGCCTTTTATCTACACATTCTGGACATAGTTCAAAAATCAAAACAGGTCCCTCGCAAAAATAATAGAATAAGTAAACCATGGTTTGATTGCGAATGCTTTCTGAAAAGAAGGGACCTTGTTCATATCTATCACTCACTCCTAATGTCAAATTTCAGAAATGAATTCCTACTGAAAAGACTGCTGGATGTTAAGAAAGATTACAAAATTCTGCTAAAAAGTAAAAAACTCACATTTAATAAGAAACAAGAAGAAAAAATAATATTTGAGGCAGAACAAGAAGCTTACCGCTTCCTAAAACAGCCAGTCGAAATAATTGATAAAATACAAAACCCCATTGACCTCGAAGACTGGATTAAACACATGACAAAAATACTCAACTGTGAAAACTTTCAAGGAGATGATAGTTTAAACCTAAAATCGCTCTTAAACCATTATGATGAAGAAATTTCCTGCGAACCAATTTTCGACGCGGAAATTCTCTGGGCAGTGAAAAATCTGAAAAACAAAAAGGCTCCTGGCCCAGACCTCATTACAAATGAAAATATTAAATCCCTTGTTCAATTCATGCTTCCACTTTTCAACAAATTTTTCAATAAATGTCTGACCTTGGGAAAAATTCCGAAGCAATGGAAATATTCCACAATGAAACTTTTGTACAAAAATAAAGGAAGTGTTAATGACTGTAACTCATATAGAGGAATTTGCCTCAGCAACACATTATGTAAACTACTTGACAAAATTCTGAGCAGGAGAATAATGGAAAAATTTAAAAACATAATACCCGAGGAGCAATACGGTTTCATGCCTGGCAAGTCAACTCTCGAGGCGGCACAGAAATTGCAATCAAAAATTATCGAAACCGTTAATAAAAAAGGCACAAAGATGTATGCTATTTTTATTGATCTCACAAAAGCATTTGACTTGTCAAATAGAAAAATACTGCTGCAAAAAATTATAAATCAAAAGAAATTGTCCAAAACGGAATTGAGTTTACTGGCCGAATTTTTAGACTTAGATTTTATTAGTATTAATGATGGAATATCTCAATCTGAGCCTTTTGTTGAGTCAAATGGATTCAAGCAAGGAATGAATTCGAGTCCCCTCCTCTTTAACATATATATCTATGATATTGTGAAAATATTTCAAACAATCGAAGGAGTAGACTTTTATTTCTATGCAGATGACATGGTGTTTATTAGTAACGATGTTAAGAAAATTGAAGCAGTCATGAACAAATTTGTAGAATATGCTAAAGAAAACTATTTGAAACCTAACTATTCAAAAACAAAAATGATGAAATTCACAACAGGAGGAAAGGGGAAATATGCAAAGGACGATAAAATAGTGATTGACGGCCATGAAATAGAATATGTAAAAAACTTCCCATACTTAGGAATTTACTTCCAAAGATCAGGTAGAGATTTCACTGAACATATTGCACGGAGAAAGGAAAATGCGCTAACTGCGATGAATATGTATGGAGATTTGAGAAAATTGTCTATTGATTGTGCGAAAAAATTGTTTAATTTGAAATTTGCCCCGATGGCCTCTTACGGTATTGAAATTATTTGGCAACATCTCAGGGAAAAAGATTTTGAAGAACTAGAAAAAGTGAAATCTCGATATTTTAAGATAGTAATGGGAGTTTCAAAATACAACAAAAACACCTATGTGTACAAATTAGTCGATGAGAAATTGTTTGTTACCGATTTGAAAGAAAAATACGATCTCCCGGAGACGGGTAATTATGTCAAGTTCCTTGAGAGCTATAATTCTGAACATGAAAATAGGTTTAATGTGAAATTCAATGACACGCCGGCAATGAGAAATGATGTATGGAAACAACCCTTGTTTGATAAAAGACATGTGTTTTGTCGCTTTGCCATGCACGGCTTTCATAATCAAATCTGTAGCAATAGTTCCGAGCGCCAACAGTGTTTCGAGGAAAGTGATTCATGCGTGTGTTTGCTATGCGGTGAGAAATGCACCCAATATCATCTGGCTGAGTGCAACCACCGAGTGCTTAGCATTAATGACTATTCTAAAAATAAGTGAAAAACTTTGGAAACCCTGTCGCGCAAACTGATAAAATAAATTGTGAATCTTAATTTTAACCTTCTAAGATGTAAGTTGAAAGTTGTACTCAATTGAGTTTTCAATAAAGACCATATATAATCTAAAAATTTAATTTACTTGTAATTATTACTTTGATTTTATGCTTATTTTTTTATAAAGAATTCTATTCTAAACCAAACTTTTACTCTTAATACAATCAACCGTTTATAAATTAACTAAATTTTGGCAAAATTTAGTCGAGCTGGAATGCTAGAAACGGTTCTTCTCACATTTCTGTTTAAACTTTTCAAAACTTTGAAAACTCAGAGGTTCATGAAAACTAATTGCTGGTGCGTCAAAATAATTCGAGCTCAAATTTCACATTGAAACTCTTCATAAGACGCGGCTGAAATTTCCTGTCAGTTTCTCCTCTCGTCTATTAATTAAGACGAAATCCACTTTGCAGCGAGCGAGATTTATTTTTGGCTGCTTATCCGCGCGTGGAGAAATTCGCGCGCAGCAGTTGCGCTTAATGAAGGAGGCGACATTTAATGAGCAGCCCGCCCGCCCGGGAAATGAAGACTACGCCAGCCTCTTATTTCCTCTCGCTGCAGTTTGGCTTTGTTTTCAGGCCCAACAAAGGGGCAAGAACGAGTGTGCGGCGGCGGCGACGAGGCCAGATTATATTTTCCTGAACACGAGAAAGAAAGCAAGAGAGGAGCCGCAAGCCAGATCGTCTCTGACAATGGCCGCTTCTGTTCTTTTCACTTTTTCAAGCACAAGCAGCTTTATGGAAATATGCTTGGCCGGTGTATCTCTTGAGCCTCAGCCCCGCCGCAAAACTGTGCGTGCATTTTATGAATCTGCAAAAAGCGTACATGGGGATTTTCGGAAGCAAAATGTAAAGCTCGTTCAACGCAAAGGACCGTCAGTAAATTCTCACTTAATAGTTTTTGTTCCCTTCAGAATAAGGAAAATGTTGGTTTCAAAATTCTAGCATCCGATTGTGAGCTAAAATAACAAAATAAAACAAATTTATTTGTAATTAAAACCCATTACCCTCATATTTTACGAAATAATTATTTTCTCGTTGACAATTTTCATTCAGTTTTCAATTTGAAAAGGATAAATTTATTTTTTTAAATTTGGAAATATCAGAAATTGTTCCCTTTCGTGTTTGAATAACACAATTTAATACAACATTTTACTTGTTTAAATCGATTTTCAGACGGGAAATCACAAGAATGTTCGTGTCCAGCACAACTCAAAACAAGAAAATGGAAACAAAAAATCGGCCATTCTTTGAACACGTCCAAAGTTTCGGAATTATGTATGCCGGTGTATAATAATTCTTGCTTGAGAAGACTTTTCTTTTGTCCCCTCGGGACGTTTTTGCGCAAGAAACACTCTCACATCTGCTACTCTTTTGACGTCTGCATTCAAAACATTTGTATTCGGTTTGTTTGCAAACACACGAACATCATGTTTGAGAGAAAGAAAGATTCCTTTGACAGCAAAGGCGACAAAGAGTCTGGAACAAAATATATAATTCTGCTGAGAAAAATGAACTGTTTTCGAACAATAAAAAATTATTATTGAGAAACAAAAATTATTAAATATTTCTAATCCTTTAAATCCTTCAAATTTGGCCTCAAATTATGTTTTTTGCTTGAAATGAATGTAAAAAAAAAATGCAAATTTTATGTTGAACTTTATTTTGACTAAATAATTTTGGGCATCTTTGTTCCAATGCCAAATTTCAACTGAATGAATTTATGCATGAGTAAATGAAGAAAAAAAAATAATTCACAGTCCGCTCGCAAATCCTGACAAAAATATCAACCTGTCAATCACTCCGTCTATAAAAAAGCGCCATTGAAAAAAACCTCAGTTTCGAGCGGGACAGGTTGACAGTCGTGAAATGGAAACATTAACTACAAATCCATGTGCGTGACGTGTGCGTGCGCCAAACAAACTCGGAATCTGCATCCTTGCCCGAGTGTGGACTTTTTTTTGCAGAGCTCTCAGGGCGAGCAGCCAATTTGCCAGCGCGCCACGTCAATTTGTGCTCCATCGTTGCTGACGAACTGTGACACTTACCGCGCACGTTTTTGTTGACGATGATGTAGAAATTGTTGACTAGGAAACGCGGCTGGTGAAAGTCAACTGCAATCACAACAAACAAACAAACACCATTAATACGCAAATTTATAATAAAATAAAATAAATTTGAAAAGCGATTCAGTTTATTTGCAGATTTCTTATAAATCAAATCCAAAGCTTTTTAAATTATGGAATTTCTGGGGAAAAATTGGATAAAAATGGGGAAAAAAAATCGAATTTGAAGATCCTAGAAAGTTGTGATTAGTAAGGATTTATTTTTGTAACCAAATTATTGTTTTTTTTTTTGCTTTAAAATACATTTTTTGATCTGTTACTTCTTATCTATCTGGTGTTTTTAACAATTATTCAAACCGCGCCGTGACACGAAAGCTTCTTGGCCTTCTGTTTGCTTTCCACATTGGGAACCATTAATTTTGATCCGTGCGCGTCAAGCAAACGGAACAGATGACGTTCCGGAGAGGCTCATTTCGCATCATTTTATCAGGCGGCGCCCAGAGATGGGCCGAGAAATGCAAAGTGTCGGCATCAATTTTCATGAATACGAGTGGCGTGATGAGGTGTCGGGCGGCGCAGCATTTGTTTGCATTAACTGCCCCATTGGGGTTGACTGCCGCGCGGGTGTGAAGGGGTGCGCGGTGCGAATCTACCCTCGACGCGATAAAACACCAGAGCCGGATAATTCGAGAGCGTGGCCAGCGCCGACCGGCCAAACGGACGAGCAAATCGCAATTAATGAACGTTTGTTTGCACAATGTGTCGCTGCTCGATATTTTCAAACGTATTTCCATTTGCATGCCTAAAAATACCGCTATCGTATTTTGTTCAAAAAAAGTAAAAACAAACAAATAATAATGAACTCAAGGACCAAAATTAAAATACGAAGACGGCAAGGTTTTCATAGAAAATTAATAAAGAGAAAAATTATAATACTTACAATTAATTAATTATATAGACAAAATTGTGAAGAAATTCTAAACAATTATATTGAGGATCCAAAATAGCTATGAAAAATGAAAAATTTCATTTTCAAATTGAAGACTCCTTACTTAATTTTAATACTATCTAAATAGCCATGAATGTTGCAAGACCTTAAAAAAATAGTTTTAAAAATAAGGACAAGGATCAAAGTGATACTTTATTCTACAAGATTTTTCTACTCCTTTCAAAATTGCCGTTGAATCAACCAACAGAATAAAAAGCAAAAAATTTTACCGTAATTTTGGCAGCGTCTGCCCTGCCAGCACGGGTCGCACAAGCACACCTGGTCGCTGCACTTGCCGCGTCCGCCGCACTGCGTCCTGCAACAAAAGACAGAGAAAACAACTGAGCGTTTTATTTTCTATTTCGAGCACGTCTATTCAAAAAAGCGAGAAAGGGCCGCAAATTAGCACGGCAATGTGCGCGCCAGATTTCATTGCCTGGCCGGAGGGAAAAATTGCTGTTAAGATGGAGTGTTTATGAGTGAGAAAGCGGGCGTCTCGTGTCTTGAGCCGTTTATTAGCTCGTAAAGGGCGTATGTGCGCGGGTGGGTGCAGGGCCAACAACCGCCGAGCCCATCTCTTCCTTCCTTACTTTCTCTCTTTTTCGCCCTTTTTCTCCTCTGCCGGAAATTGCTGCGGCGCTGCTCGCTGCCCACATTTTCGGCCGATTGAGCACGAAAATTTGCAGCAGCTCATTTTCTTTCATTTCGACTATAATGGCCGACGTTTGCCGGGATTATTTTCTCTTTGGACGTCGCAAGATGGCAAGGAATGAGGACTTTCTGCCATCGGCTTAGAGATCACAACTGAGGCAATGCGACCATGTCTTTTATTCCAAAGATTGGCACCAGACTCCATTCAAAAAGAAACATTATATAAATTTTTACTCAACTTCAGATCAGAAAGCAGAATATTAAAAAAAAACTTTAAATTAAAAAAAAAAAAATGGTTCTTTTTTCCACTGCAAATAAATGTTAAAAACATGATTTTGACACACAAAAACTCGGTGCCTAATAAGCTCAGCAGATGTGGGTTTATCTGCCGCACTTTTGCAGGCAGCAGCGGTGAAAAGCCTAACTGCCGCATTTCAGCTGCATCATGCAGAAGTGAGGCAGATAAACCCACATCTGCTGAGCTTATTAGGCACAGATTTTTTGTGCGTTCAAAAAATGGCATAATTTTGTGATTTAAACTGATGTGAAGTAAAATATTTTTATTTTTCATACAGCCTATTTATTTTAAAAAAAATTGCGAATTTTGGTGAAACCATATGTCTCAAAATAGGTGATAAATAGAATAAAACCTAGAAAAGGTTGTTATTTGCATAAAAGTTTTGTCATTTTTAATGAAAACCATCAAAATATGGTATTTTCAGTGATTGCAGAAGCTCATTTTAACTAACAAAAGGTTTTTTGAGCTTGTTTGGAATATATTCCCAAAAATACTATATTCCCTGTTTTTTTATTATAATATTTTGAGCTAAAAACATTTTCATTTTTTTTTTTTATCTTCATTAATTTGAATTTGATCTTTAAACTCAATTCGCAGAATTCCCTTTTTGTACGTTTGAAGATTTTGTTATTGAATCAATTATGTAGCAGAACAAATGGGGCCTAGCAAGAATTTTATCGGAGGGTCTCGATCGAAAGCCTTTGAAAGCTGAGAGAGTGCAAAGGTGAGAGAGGAGCCTCTTGAGAACCGCTTCAGAAGCAGCCAGCCGAGGCGAAACAAGCAAGTTTTCTGGTTCAAATCTGCGGTGCGACTTGAAAAAGGGAAGAATTCCAATCCGATTTGACAAAGAAGGTGTTGAAGGCAGGGGCAGGGATTGCGGTCGGAATGCAGCGCATTCCCATGCCAGGAAAACTGTCCATTGGCCGGATCGCAATTCCCCGGCCGGCGCGGAAAAAGGAGAAAGCAAAAGCGGCTTAGTTCGTGGAGCTGCGTCCAATTCCCCGTTCTAATATTTTGCGTGGCCCAGAAAACAAGACTCGGCATTTTGGGCGCGTCTCCACGGTCGAATTTTTCATCATTGCTGCCGGCGAAAGAAACCCGGCGGGCGTTAAATAAACCCATGCAGATGTTGCTTGCTTGCGGACGAGCCACTTTGGCCGGGCCGCCCACGTTCAAATTCAATTTTATGAAAGTGCGGCTTTTAGCTCTAAACGCGAGGAATTTTGGGCAAAGAGAGCTTACTGTGTTTTCTAACAACACAGAAGCTGCTTTCACGGCTTGGCCATTTCAATGCGACTAAAAATAAGCAGGTTTTGTTTCTACTTTTGTTTATTTCCAAGGGTCTGTTGTTCCATCACGATTCTCCATTGTTACAAAAGAGAAAGGGGTAGTTTGGGCAAACCTCAAGAAATTTCAAACAATAAAAATGTACCTCCAAATACTTAATTCTTTAAAAAAATGTAATATTCATGAAATTACCATTAATTTTTGAAATATTTCTCAACTGATGTAAAATTTAAGCACTCTAAAAGAATGAATAAAGCAAAATTTAATTAAACTCTATATTAAATTTTCATTTTGTAGAAGTTACAGAAACGAGCAATTTTGACTTTAGAAAAATCTAATAAGCAACAATGAAAAAACAGACACGATTTTGATCCTTACAATCGATGTAGAACTCGAATTGGTGATGTAAACTTGACTTTTCCTTAGCCTAGATTTATATTTTACTCTTAACTCTCTTTCCAAAAAAACACTAGCAGAAAGTACAGTTCACTAAATTCACAATCTACTTATGTAGGAAAATCGGAGTTTAAATTAAAAAAAAATTTAAATAACAATCATAATAATTCCCAGTGCTATGTGATCAAAATGCGGATATTTAATCCCAACCTCTGATTGGTTTTCTGTTAATTTCTATAAAACCAAACAATTTTAGAATATTATGTTGAAAATACATTTATTTACCCATGTGAAAGCTGTTCATCGGCCAATATAATCTGCAAAGCAAATTTCACACCAATAAATAAAGCAATCGTTGGAATGAGTAATCCGCCTGTGAAATCGCTTTTTTCAAATTGGGCCAGTCGCACGCGTTTTTTTTTTTTAATTAAAAGGGAATAATTGCCGGCGGGGCGCAAAACAACCGCGCGAGAACAATACCGCGGGATGCTAATCCCCAGCTGACCGCTTTTTAAACACCTTCCGCACAACACCGCAGGTAAAAAATAAATAAAAATAAAAACCCCTGGTCGAGCGAAACAAAAGGTTAAAAAATGCTACTGGGAAAACGGAAAACCGAAGCCAATAAATATGGCGCAGAGTTAATTATTGCCTCTCTCTCATGAATATGAAAATGGGCGCGCGTGCCCGGAAAAATAATCGGCCTCGCGCGAATTCACGCAAATTTCTGCTCGTGGCTGAGCAGAATTTCCACTCGAGTGAGAATTCGCACGAGTGCATTTTCAAGCAACCTCCAATAAAAATCTCGTTACTTTAATCAAATCGATCCGGCTCTTGTGCAGAATTGCAGTTTCTCTCCATCACGCTCCAATCATTTCTCCCCGGAGACTTGTTTCAACTTTTTTCTCCTCGGCAAATCTCCATCTAAAGCTGCAGAGCATTTTTTTGCGATCACCGCGACCGACTTTTCGGCCGCGCCAAAAGCAACAAGTTCAAATAAAAGCGACGCCCTTGTTGTTTGCCCGTTTTTATTGCTAATCTGCTGTCGCGCGAGTTTCGACTTTTTTGCTTTGTTGTTCGGACTCTGCTGTTTTTTGATAAACCTCCTACCAAAGTCAAACCATGGCTTACTTTTTGTCGCGTTTAATGAATGAAAATTTCTCATGATAAAAAGGGAATGAATAGCAGGATCAGACAAGGATTTTTGGTGCTTTCCTTGGAAAGAAAATCAACACGATTAATGAAATTCATTCTGTAGGTAATTCAGTTTAAATAATAACATTTCTCATTTTCCTTGAAACTTTGCAGAAAATTATAAATACTTTCCTCAACATTATTCATTTTATTTTGGTGAAACAAATGAAATTCCAATATGCAATTTTAATCATCTGCCTATGATTTTCAATCAGTTTAAGATTTCTCAATTCACCCAAAATTTTATAGCCTTAAAACTAGGCCGTCATTTTCCAAAAAGGATTTTTCAGTTCATGTTTTGCAGCTCACGTGCCCCTTTATCGACGAGCAAAGAAAATGTCTGTTTCATCTGTTTGTCTCCGTTCACGGCGACGTCCCATTTTGCAAACAGCAATTTTCGCGATCAAAGAAGCAAGCAACGGTGCGAAGAAGGCGGAGAGAAGAAATAATCAATGCCGATATAAATCAGGCGCTCCGCTTCTTTCTGCATTTCTTTCGCAAGGAAAAGGGCGAGGGAAAATAGCAGTGCTGCTTTTGCTCTGAAACACGCTGAAAGAAACCTGTTAGCTTCCTCATCTCGTCGCTCCATTTCTTATTCTTTTTCAAGCTTCTTCGAACGTGCAGTGCGAGGGCGAAAGAGAAATAAAGAAAGAACGAAGCCTGTGTGTTATAATTTAACACACACGCCTCGTGAAAGATGCTTTTTCCGAAAGAGCAAAAGAGACAGACAAAGGCGGCGCGGCTCTTTCGTCGAGTGTGTAATGAGAAAATGGAGCTGCACTTTCATGTATAGAGAGAGAGAGACATTCGCACGTACAAAGAGAGAGAAAGAGACAAAATACACGGTGCCCCAAATTATTTCACATCTCCATTCAAGCGAAATGTCATGTACATTTTTGAAAATACAGCATTTTTCATCAAATTGTGAAATAGAGCAGAAAAAGATTTCAAAATGTTAATAAAATTTTTATTTATTTAGTAAATCTTCTATTTCCATTAAATTAAATGAAAATAATTCTCTTTGAAACTCAAACTAAAAGTAAAGATTTAAAACTTATTTATTAAAGTTTAACTCTGAATAAATAGAACAAATAAATAAATTATAAATTTAATAATTAGTTTTATTATTTACATTTGACTTTAAATTCGGTCAAATTATAAATATTTGCACAAAAAAAAGAAGAACGAAGCTTGAAATTTGATTTTTTTTTTCAAGATTTATATTTTTAAGTTGTAAGTTGTAATTTTTTCTCACAGGCATCTTGCTGAATTCCAACTATTCCTTCATTACATCTCTCAATTTGAATTTGTTTAACTCTTTTCACCCCTTCAGATCAGCACCTAATGTTGACCCAACCCGCACAGTCCTTGTCGGTTGACCGCGTCAGGCCGCAAAAAACCGCCAGATAATGCGTTTGAGGTTGCACAGGCTGGCTGCATGGGCAAATTCCACGCGAAATGGCACTCGGCCGAGGTGCTACGAACTGTAA